TAATTCTGCTTTGAATGTGAATGGGGTGACTCTTTTTTTGCTCCCCCCCCCCCTGTATACCCAACACTGTCCGACATGGCTGCAATGTGCGGGATATACATATATCCCCCGCGTTCTCGTCAATGTGTTAACAAACAAACGAGGTAAGGCTTTTCTCTGTTTTCATTCCCAGGAGTCAGCTGATTTATCGTTTCATCTATCTTTAGAGGCAACTGCTGAATGAATGTGTCTTGCAATCACCGTGCCAGGGCACGGGAACGGAACTAGAGGAAGGGAACAGTGGCATCCGGCTGCTTTTGAAAACTCAGAATGACCAGGTCCTCCAGCCTCTCCCCAAAATTGGTGGTATTGACAGTGCCTGGTGAGGAACTTCAAACTCAGCCTCCTGAACTCTAAATTCGAGCGGAAACAGGTAGCCAGATATGCGTATTGCTGAAAGCCTGCAGATTGCACGTTTCTCGCCGGTCATTTCTCCGAACTGGTCGGAACATTTTTCTTCAACAATAGCAAGTAATGACAAGTGCAAAAAGTGCATATCACTTTGTGAATGTTGCTGATCGTGAGGACTAATTGCGCTAATTCAAATGACGTCCTCTGAGAACTGCTAGACGCGATGTGCATTCTCGGATTTTTGAATTACAGTAACGAGAATGGTACCCTCTTTTTCTCATATAACTTTTAAATTTATTTGTTTGTAATAATGACATAATTATTACCTCTATTACGTATTATGCATCCCATTCTGCAAATATGAACTGTAGCAATACGTAGCAAGATGTTAAAGGTACCGAACTCATTTCAGATCAAAACTACCCTAGCGAATGAGCATTCCAACATGAAGACAATCAGCAGGGAATGTATACAACAAATTCCCAACACCTAGCATTTATGGGCATCGGCTACCGTAGGTCCCTCTAGAGGTTGAGAGAGGACGTCAGAATACGCAAAACGGTGCCCCCTCCCATCCTGTTTGGCCGCCGTACATTTCAAATCTAATTCTTGAGCCGGGAACGCGCGCGAATCACGAGCGCCAAGCAACCGCTGTCGGCCCGACACGCGGCTGCGATCTCTCCGGGACAGAGCCGCGCCGGCATGGAAGGCGGGCTTGCCCAAATCACAGGTGGGCAATGCGGGGCGAGCAAGCGTCTACGTGCCCTTTGCCTGCCACTTTTGAACCACAAAGGGGCCACGGCATCAAAGTTTGTTTCGCCGCTAATCTACCCACACTCGGGATAAACAGGTGCTTACCGGACGGTCTTGAATATGAATATTTCTGGCACTATTGTACGCGATGTCCCAGAATAGGACGTGAGCTAAAACGGCCCGCGCTCGCGATGCCCGAGGAAAACCGCTTGTTCCCAATGTTGAAACTAATGCAGTACTAGAGCAGCCGCTGGCTGAGCCGGAAAGAGGCCTAGTGGAACACCAAGCGGTATAGCCGAGAGGCTTTTAATCCATTTCCCCATGGCGTCTTTGCAAATTCATAATTTATATGTATAGACGTTTGTTTGCGGTGCATAGCAACCTTGCTCGCCTCGTTAGCTTCTATTCAATTTTCCACTGCTTTACATGCTCAAAATAGAAAAAAAATGTTGAAAAGGAGTTGATCAAATAGACGAAGGTCTCTTTTTGTTCCTTTCCTATATGAAATTCCTTGAACCTGCCATCATTTGCTCACTTCAGCTCACGTTCTTGGAGTATCAGATGGGCCAAAGGCTCTGAACTACTAGCAGTTCTCATCCCATTCAGTATCAGTTCCTCTGTGTCGAAGAGCTGTGGTAGTCGCTTCCTAGGAAGTTCTATTGGATGGAATTGTTTAAAAAGGTGTTTATCAAGAATTTCTCACTAGAAGAAAGGTTTTCGAACGAATGCCGGTTAGGGGACGACATTTTAATGAGTACGGGGGAGGGGGGACAAAATGTATCGATCACAAGCGGAGCATAAGAATTGACAGCGTAATTAGTGTATTGCAGCGCTCCCTCAGCCTGATTTTTTCTTTTTTTTTTCACAATTCCAGATAAGATCGGTCCAAGCAAGCCCCCTTCCCTTCGGAATTCGCTAGGGTAGCAGACCTTCCGAGAGATGCACCGCACTGACTGGTATATGGAATGTGTGAATCTGCTCTCGCCCTAGCCTGCTGAAAAATTACCCGAGTGAAGTTATTGGGCACTTTCCAAGATAATATTTTAATTCGAAGTCTCCATAAGCACCGTTTCAAATTGCAGGAAACAAGCTTCGAGTGGGTTCGAGTCCTCCTTGTGATGATTTTTGCTTCCTCATTTTGCCGCTATCTCGAAAAATATGTAAATAGCAGCTCTCCCAGGGTAGCTGTGCCTCCCTTCCCAGCGCACTATTTTCTTTCTTCATGTGCTTTCGCGTCTCCTCAATTTCACATGTTTCGTTTCTCTGGCCTCTATTCAAAACTTCCCGTCCCTAGCCACAGCCGATACGAAAACGGCTGGTAATAACAAAGTGCATTATAAAGTGCACATGAGCACCAAATGGTCGTAGCGGATCATTGTACCCTCCCACGGTACAGACCCGGGTTCAACTCCCGGTTGGTGCAAGAAGTTTTTTGCACAATAACCACATGTATATTTGAGCTCGGTCACGGTCGGGTCTCGGTTTTGTTTGTGTCTTTCGCTTACTCTTCCTGCTTGAAAACAATGCAAAGGAATGAGATAAAATGATGGAAGCTTACCGATTCTGTTGAAAATACTTTTTCCTTTAATTTTGTGAATTCCAATGAACATTCGATAGAAAAGCTAGCATAATGAATGCTTCTCTGCACCATCTATTACTGAGGGATCTACCCACTCTGAGGTAGAGTGTGATTTTTTAATAGAACCGAGCTTCTGCAGAGAAGGCCAAAACTGTTTAGAGAGCGCTGTTATGGACTCGTCCGATCTCATTCTCGAACGAATGGCTCTCTCATCCCTTAATTTCAGCGTGCTGGGGCCATCCTATGTGGGCTATGTTAGGTGGGCTCAGGGCCTGCACTAAACACTGCATCTACATGGATGAGCCGTGGCCTTTTTTCTGCAAAGTTCCGAACAGAGCACCCCGGGCAGGGTTAACCCTACCGTTGCGACTTTTTGGAAAATTTTTACCCCCCTCCCCTTCATGGGGGATTTCATACGACCCCCTTCTTCACAGCTTCACTTTCCTCCAAAAAACGCCGTCGAGCGGAGGGGAGGGGGTGGGGGTAACCGCAAAAATTCCCTATATTCCCACATTTTTTTGAACTCTATTTTGCCTATATTCTCACTGCAACATTTTCTAGGGAGGTACATACGGTCAGACGGCATATCCACGCTCTCAACTCATCACATGAAATTTCGTGCTACTGGAGCGAGTACTCCCCCCCCCTACAAACTCAGTCAAATTGGACCCCTGCGTTGGTACTTGTCCCAACGTAGGGTTGACTCTGTCCCGGGATGCTATGCGGGCCACAGTAGCTGTGCGCGAAGCAAGATGAGCCATACTCAACAACAAACAGGGAGCCCGTTCAATGTCAATGAATGTCATTCCCTTTCTCATATGTAATGTATGTCCTAATTATTTACTGAAATTTTGTACAACATCTTAATAAATCATTTCAAAGAAGTTAAATAAGGAAAATGGTGCAATTATTATGTATCAAGTATATGATGCGAGGAGGGTATCGAGGCCATGTTAGGTACCATACCTTCTGCGGATTACTTTACTTTGTGCTAGAGTTATTTATAATCTGGTATAGTCTAGGTCTGTTTCCGAATAGTCGATCCGGGAGAAGTGGAAAGATTCTGTGACCTGAATGGGTTTCGAACCATGCTCTGGCTCTGTGTGGCTTCATGTCCTACGCTACTATCATGCAAAACCTGTGCTCACCATATTTGTTGTTTTATCATAGAAGTTGTTGTCATAACCATGAGAGAATTAAGCCGCGGCCCCGAGGGAATTAGGGCACTTATTTGGCTACAGAATGAATCCAGCCGATAACTGGTGTCAGTCGGCTAATACGGTATTTATCAAGGATGCGCTCCCATTGACCGTTTCATATGGTCTGATCCCCTGGATCCATTGCACTCTCTATGTTCAATCCCCATTTTCTCGGAATTTCCCCAGAATGAAAGTCAATTGCGTTGTGGATGTCTTACTCCTCCATCCATCCGTTTCCCTGCAGAATTTCGACCACTTGTCGTTATTCTTCAACTTTTTTCTCCTAATATTACCTAGAGTATTTGCGGACTTGCTCACTTTAAATCCCGTGGATTTAAGTCTATAAAAAAGGGCGATCCGATATTTCTGCCAATGAAGTTCAGGTGTGGGAAAAATTCGTCTCACAGTGTGCCCCAAAATGGAGACGGTTTACTGGAATGAGGAAGCCAGTGAAATCGCTGTGAGTGGTTTTTCAATGACTGATTTTGCTTGGTTCGCAAAGGGACAATATCAAATCCAAAGGCCCTGAGGTGGATAGGTGCGAGAAATGACGGCTTTTTTGATTTCATGTCCGAGATTGATGGCCGCGTCTGGCGAGCTATAGGTACAATCTGCGAAGTCGTTCTGAAAAGGCATCGTATTTACACCATTGATATAACGGAATTAGTGACAGACTTACACGCCGAGAGGGCTGCTTCGCTTATATTTATTAGATATTTAAAACGTCGGTGTATATTTTTGAGAAATAGGGAAAAGCGAATCAGACTCAACAGTAATATAGAGCCAGGTGGGTCATAATTATTCAGACCAAGGCCCTGCCTCAGTAAAATCTGCCACACTAAGTGATCAGCTGTTCCTGTCTCGTATGAAATAATTGTTAGAGGTGACTGGTTCTGTGCGTGTGTTTCGTAGTAGGATACCCGCCATTTGCGTTGGGTCCGAAGCTCGGAGAAGAATATAGTGATCTCTATTTCCGTTAACGCGTGTAAATCCTGATAGCGTTAAATACGAGATGGCGCGTAGATAAAATAGGGCAGATGAGCCCTGAGTTGGGGATTTGACCTTGGATTATTTCCTAGATGACAAATCGTTTCCAGCCAACCACTAACGTTTCGTACAACTGCGTTGATCGCCATATGTCTCAACCGGATTTCAAGCATGAAACAGCGCTGCTGTGGTACGCCAATATTAGAGATAGTTATCCTCGAATTAATTTTTTTATTAGGACGGCAATTTTCTGGGACGATGGTGTTCACGACTATGCCGACTTGTCATGGGATGTGGTCGAGGTTCTGACGAACAAAATAGCCAACGTCTTCAAAGATTGCTGTGGTTTCTGTAAGTCCCAAGTTCATGGCATTGCTCTGTATGCTTATTCTGGGTTTTTATCACTTATCAGTTCTTATTTCTCGTTCCCCTACAACTAGTATTGGTCCCTCAAGTACCATGCTGTCACTCCCCATTTTCAGAGATTTTGATATGCTCATATTTACAGTCAACTGCTGCTCTCAAAAAGTGACTGAGAGCATCAGAGACCGGAAAACTTAAATTGCATGAAAAAAAAACAAAAATAAAAATTGAAGCCATTTTTACGTTGAGCTGTTCCAGAAAGACCCAATATTGCTTTTTCTTCACAACGTCATTCAACTGCCACTGTGCTTGATGGGTGCGAGCCGAATCGGAGCTGTCTCCGTAATCCTTGTGAGTTTCCATGTGCTAAAATATGCTCATTTTAAGGCTGTTCCTTTCTAAAAAAACCAAAAATTTGCAAAAATTATTACCTCTTTGTCGGTTTCAATTCACAAGGTTTAGAGCACCTAAGGGCTTCTCAGTTCCTTTGATAATTTTTAGAACATCTAAACTTTGTGCTTTTGTAATGAATTTAGTAACTGCTCCGATGAAAAATTCAACAGTTTTGTGCTAGCTATACTTCTATTCAGAATCCCGTGACAACAACGACGTCACAATTGACGGAGCTTATCAAAGAAACCTGTCCGAAGCTGATCGTCACTGTGGACGCATTTTGGCAAGGACATGATCTGATCGAAACTAAACAGCGTTTGGACGAGGCTGTCAGCAAGGCACAGGTGGGCGAAGGTGGCGACGTCTTTCTGTACATGATTTTATTCACGGGGAACTGACATCAATAAGGTTTACAGTATTTCCATCAAGTTCTCCACGCCTCACAGTATGGAGCACCTGTATTCATCTCAAGAGGCGGGTCAAAGCAAGACGCGTGCGTTCGCGTAGCGTCCACTCTCATAGATCTGACCATTGATTCCTTCGATCACGTCGAATTCCACGCATTCGATAGCACTGCTGCGATTTTGCTCTTACCATTAGTCCTAACCCTCTTTGTAGAAGTGATCACCCTCATTCTGAACAGGGGTGAACGAGCTCCTGAAATCTCTGCTTGGGCACTTTTGCTTCTCATGGCCCTTTTCTTGGGTGGGAATTTGACCGAATCCAACGAACCCCATACTCCAGCCTAGCCCTACCATTAAATTACTGACCTAATGGACCTGATCGTTTTTCAGATAACGTCGATCAAGCGAATATTGGTCATTCGTCACACGGCACCGAATAAAGGCGTTCCACCCCCGGACGAGGTGTATCCCGGTAAACGGCCCTGCTATAAAATATCGGTATCTCTTATGAGTGTACGCAGATGTGTTTTAACCTTCATTTTTCTGCATTTAGTTCGAGCTGAATGACGAAATCGATGTCGAATGGAGGAAGGAGATCATCAAAGCGAATACTGAGTGCGACCCCGTGTGGCTAGATGGCAATCATCCCTTCGCGATTCTTCCAATAACTTGATCACGATGGCTGAGGGCGCCGCCCAGTTTGATGACGACAATTAACGTCACTGGGCTCGAATCCTTCAGAAACGCCCTCACACACTCGGCGGCGGACCAAGAGACGAGCGATCGCGGTCGATCCATCGCTATCCGCGTGCGCCGAGTGTAACGACGTCTCAGCGCCTAAGGGGAGTACACTGCGGGCCGCCTTTTCACAAGTGACGTTAATGGTCGCAACCGTCCGCCAGCCATCGTGGTCACAGACTTTAATTAAAGTACATTTTAAAAAACGCTAGCCATTCATAAGTCCCTACTTCTGCACTCCGACGTGATTAGGCTAACCAGGCACTAAGCCTGGGCTAACCTAACCACGTTCGGGAACCACAGCCAGCCTAGTTTCAACGCAGCACTGGTCAGACTTCCTCCCATAGATTCTCGTTTCAGGAACCCAGTCTTGAGTTTACGCACCGTAAGCACGAAACAATTATTGATAGCTGCGCAAGAACTTGGATCGCTGGTGACAACCGACTGTCTGTCGCTACCTCATCCTCAGACATCACTCGGATTGGTCGGCTGTGTAGCAAGTATGGCTGTCTGGGAAGACTCTTTCAACGTACCCTGCAATTTTACTTATAAGAAAACTTCCTCAACCATAGAACACCGTTCCCTTCCCATCCTCTCCTCTCCTGAGTTTGAAGAGTTTCCAACACACTTCAAGGAATAGGTGACCTACCGACCCTGAGGCAATTCTGCTCCTCTAAGCAGTGACAAACAATGGCACCCTTATACCTAGGTATGTAGTATGTAGGTGCTGCAACATGGATAAGAAGGTAGAAGGTAGATAATTGGGAGTTCTGGGGGAGGGGTGTAGGATCGTCCACTATTTTTCTCGTACGGAACTTGTAAGGGATTCTGATGTTCCTATCGTTCTTTTACTGTTGTCCATCCATCACTGGTTCCGGCCAAAGGGTTCTTTTGGAGGTATGTGAGGGCAGAGAAAGATGGATAAGGAGATAGGAAGAAAAGAGGTAGCTTCGAAGGACTTGAGTCGCTCCTGACGTCCCATCGGTTTGGCTCTCTACAGTTTTGAAAAGATTCGTTAAGAAGGTAGGTAATATTAGATCGCGGAAAGTGTGAATTTCAGCAGTCGGGGTTGAGCATCTTGCAGTCGCAAATAGGCCCCGATAAAATTAAACTGCGCCGATTACAAGGAAATGATTGAAAAGTGGCTCAGTGTGCCAATTATACTTTTTTCAGTTCGAAGGCACTCTAAACCATCCAGATCCATCACGACTGAAGCACGTCATCAAAAAATTTGAGGTTGGACAACTTATTGCAAGTTATCGTCAACGTGTTTTTGGAAATTGATAAACTCAGTGAATTGATTTATATTTATTAATTTGTTTTGGGATTTATTTATTTTATTTGCATTTTATACTAACTGATCCATTTATTTCTTACCCTGTTTATTTGATTCTGAAGAATTGGTCGCCTAGTTCGATACTGTTGAGGGATGCGCCACTCATCCAAATTTCGTTTTTTACATTACACAGCAGCTTGCAGGGCGCCGGTCAACGTTTCTATTGCATCTCCCCAAGTCTGCCTCACTCTTGTTAGCGAAATCCCAAAAACAAGATTTTCTCGGGAAAATACCCTTCCCTTTCATGAATACGAACTCATTTCGCTAACTGGGACCATTTCCCTCCATAATCACAAACTAAGCATCACCCAGTTACTGGCTATCTATGGTCCAAATAATAAATTTTCACCTAGGTTTGCCAGACTCAAATGATCACATCACGGATCAGTGATAAAGCACTCGGTGTATCCCTTTCGGGATGCGCCACGCATTCCTCTTCCATTGAAATCGTAGTGGCAATCGACTGTGTCCTATACAGACACATGCAGAGCTAGCCAATCTTACGAGGGTATATCTTACATGACAGCTCCCTATCAGCTGATCAACCCCGAAGGATAGAAGGCTAGGTTGTCCTCATCGAGATTCAGGCCAGAACTTGATCCCCGGACGCCAGCGCCCTTTGCCACTAAACCACCCGCTCACATACTTGCTATTATAGAGGATCAGAGTGCTTGTATTGGTCACTGCGTAGTAATCTCAAGCTAGTAAAGTAGATTGATGCGATATCATGCATTTGAGCGCAACCTGGGCATTGTGGTAGCACAAGTTTCTTGTTTCTGTTTACATCAGGGTCCAGCCCAACTTATCTTCACTAACTTGAAGCGCTGCACTTATCCTGTTCGCCCATCTGTTTGTGCCAAGCC